CGTCGTACTCCTCAGTGTTGTACTGCTTGTATCCTTGAGACTGGTCGTAGCTGGCGGACTCATTCTTGGAGATCTTCATCTGGAGGGCGATCATCTCTCTGTAGCGTGTGAGGTCTCCGCCAACCTTGAGTCTGAGATCTGAGAGCTGTCGTTCTGCGATGCCTGAGCGACTGAAGAAGAGCCATGCTTTACCACTGTCACCGATGGCGAGACCTCCATGTTTTTCTGCTTCAGAATAGAGACGTTCCCATTCAACAACGTACGTAGAGAAATCCATGTCGTATGGTTTGACGAAACAGAAGAATCTGTCCAGGCTCGTCCAGGCGAGATCCTGATCGTCTAAGTAGTAGAGTTCCGTGAGCTTCGCAATCAATACTTTGACTCCTGAAGGGTATGCTGGAGCGAGACTATTTCCTGCTTGGTCATTGATGGCTGGCTGAGCGTCGAGAGAAACTGCCTCGATCCCTTCGTAGGTCGTCTGCACAAGAGTCTGGGGATCTGGCCTCTGAATAGTCAAGCCAATTGCAATCCTCAGAGCTCCTCCTTCCAGTCGTGACATGATCGCGGGTCCTATCTGTTCTTGATCAAGCTTGGTCAGGCGGCCCCAGATGGCTAGATATTCTTTGTACTCCTTGATAGGGTACGCTCTGGGTCTCCATCCTGGTGGCACATCCTTCGTATACTGTCGAAGACCAAGCTGTGAACTTGCCGTCGTCTGCTGCATTGTATTAGATTGATGCTGTGTTGAAATAACTGGTCTCGAAACCAATCCGTCGTACTCGGTATTTGATGTGAATCTGAAACCGTTCTAGTGGTGGTCCCGATGTGAATCTGAAACCAATCTGTCGTACTGCACAAGCCTGACAGGTGCGCGCGCGCAAGCGTGCGGTCCGTGGACAGAGCCTCCGTAGAGGCTCCGCTACCAAACTCGGGATATCGATGAGAATCGTATCCAATAAGAATTGATGAGAATCAATTATCTTGATAATTAAGAGTGAATCGGTTAAAGATATCGGATGAGATCTTTCTTCGCTTGAGCCAAACGGCTACAGTACGTAGCAAAGCAGCAGGCAGCCAAGCAAGAGCTTAGCCTGGAAGCCTAGCTTTGGGACGTTAGTCCAGGGGCTCCCAAGAGGCTCTTTACAGGGACTCGCTCGAAACCTATCATACATCAGAATTCTAACTGGGGGAGGGGGGGGGACACCCCCTCCCCGAAGGGGCAGAAAAGGGGGTTAACAGAACGAGCTCGTCAGACCACTCACGCCAAGAGAGCTTGTGTGATAAAGAACATTGATCAGCCCCTTCCTGAAGGGGAAGAAGGGCGATGGAAGAGGAAACGTCCGAAACTACCCACGCCCTAGAGTGCTGATGGGATTCCTGCGTGGTTGCTCTGACTCCTGATTCGCCGTAGTTCGCTTGATTCCCCGAGATGCCTTTGCAACGGACACCCCACATGATGTTACCACATATGGTAGAAATTCTCGCGTCAGAAAGCGAAAGCAGGGCGGATAAATGCCTCCTTACTTTTCGATGGCGCCGCTCGTCGGGGAACGCGCGCGACACAACGCATGTGTTTCTCGGCATCAAGCCACTGCAGACTAATGCGGGTCAGGCTCACGGGGCGCCTTTTGTGTCGAAAACACGTCAGAGCCACGGGGCCGAACGGGGTTATGCTGTCCTTGGGCGCCTAGCTAAGCAGGGGGCCCCTGAGATCTGACGTAGCGAACAACAATTATTTCGGATGCAACTCCTGGGAGGTCAAATTCTGATCTAGCCCTGGTCCGAAATCCGGCTTAATCCGGCTTAATCCCGCTTGATCCGGCTTCATCCCGCTTGATCCCGCTTAATCCCGCTTAATCCTGCTTAGTCCGAGGCCCATTCCGGCGCAACAGCTCCCAAATGGGGCTCAATCCTCCGTACTTTTTCCGACGAAAACCTCCCAGTAGTTGCCTCCTAAAATTGCAACATCGTCGAAAATCACGCCCCGAGCCCTAGACCCAATCTGTTTGCGTTATGTTTCGACCCAGGTCGGTCTGCGAGGGTCCCAGGTCCCGAAACCCGTCGAAAACGCCCGCTGTAAAACAGTTGCAACGCCAGGGTCTCAGGGGTTCACGGTGCGGATTATTGTTAGTGCTTTGTCGCCGTCGCATCTAGACCGCCCCACGACCTGTCCGCGACCCGCCACGCAACCTGCCCGCAAAAGCAGCCTTGCGCGACCTGCCCGCGCGCCGCGCCGCGACCGGCGACCCGCCCCGCGACCCACTCCTGCGATCCGCTTGGCGACCCATCGCTGCCTGGGTTCTTGGTGGTTGCCTTTCCTCGCAGGCGATGTTTCTTCCCCAACCCATTATTTTTGACGAAAAATGAAGCCGCTCAGAAATGGAGGGAAACCCTGGGATACGCCCCAAGGGGGCTGTTCGGACGCACCCCTATCGAGGATGGACGCCCCCCCAGTGTATATCCCAGGGTGGGGCCCAGGGTTTCTACTCCGTTTGAAGACCCCACGAGGCCTGGGACAGGGGTCGACATCGCCCTCGTTCCTTCCGCGGTGGGGCGAAGGCTGGCGCAAGCTTAGGCTGAGACTGAGCCTGGAGGGGTCTCAGGCCCCCTCGAGACATGACAAACATCACTGCAGACAACGTCGACGACGACGGCGACGACGAACAACGACGACGACGAACGACGACGAGGACAACGACAACGACGACGACGACGACGAGGCTGAGGCCCTTACGGGCCCTCGGGATCATCACAAATTGGGCGGGACGAAACAGCGGTCCCAGGGAATGAGTCGAGACCTCTGGGGGTCGACGTCGTGACAAATGCATGGCGCCGGGTGTCTGGGGCAGTAGTGCCATCTGACAGCATGCCATGTTGTCAGATGGCACCGTTGCGCCTCGAGGCTTACAGGCTCAACCTGCGCTTCGGCCTCGGCCTCGGCCACACTGCCAGCTGTAGCCCTTGCCACATGGGGGGGGGGGGCCCAAGCGGCAGCAGCAACACGACACGACTCCACACAACGGAGCCACTGTTCATCTCCGCGCGCAGGGGCAGTGCAAGCCCGTTCGACCCCATCCTTCTGACCCCGTGCTGGCCTGGACAATCATGCTGCCATGGTAGAGAGCTTATCCTCCTCCTCCCTCCGCCTTCTTGCTCCTGCGTTTCCCCCCCCCTCTCTTGCGTAGACGGCGTGGCTCAAGCCGTTGGCTCGGGACGCCGGTTCCGGCCCAGGGCTCTCGAACTGCAGCTGCCTAGATCGGGGGTTGCTGAATGTACCCCTGGCCCAAGCTGCCCCCAGCTTCTTGCCCTGTCTTGAAGCCCCTGGGCGCTCCGGGCCTCGTGATGGGCTGCTGCAATGAGGCCGTGGCGGCGTCTCCGAAAATCCTGGGGGGGCGCCTCTGGCCAGGAGCCCTTCTGGCGACACCCGACCAGAGGCCGCCGCAGGCGCCGGCGCCGCCTCCTTGGTGCCCGCCGCCGCTGCTGCCGCGGGCCCGTGGCACGCCCTGGCCCCGCGCGGGGCCTCGCCGCCGCGGGCGCGGCCGGCGGGGCCCCGCCCAGGGCCGGGGCGCGCGCCCCCCCGCCGGGTGGCTGCGTTCGCGGGGGCCGGCGGCCTGGGGCGCGGCGGGCGTGCGCGGGGTGCCCTTCCCCGAAGAAGAAAAAGCACGCCATGAGCCTAAAATCTTTTGGCGCTCCGCGCGGCTTTCTCGGAGCCGGGACGCCTCGGGCACCGCCCCTGGCGCGCTCCGCGTGCCGGGGGCGGGGGTCCGCCGCAGATCCAAGAAATTCGCGCGTAGCGCCAAAAATTATGGCGCTGTTTCTTTTTCTATCAAGGGCATAAGAAACGCCCCAACCCTGGTTTACGAGGCGCTGTGCGCTGAAACTCCTGTGGGCTGTCCAGGGAAACCCTGCGTGATGTTCGGCGTCCTGGCGGCTCTCTAGGCTCGAGGTTTACAGACCACGCATTTGTAACCCAGGGTAGGGTCGTTTTTCATCTCTGAATTCTACTTCTCGCCGCGGCCGTACCATACAGAGGCCGCCGACCGCTTCTACGACCTTGTGTCGAAGCCCGGGTGTGACGGCGAGCCGCTGAAGTTCCATTTAGCGTGCGGCACGGGCGAGACGTTCATCTTCTGTCTCATCATCCTGAGGGCCCTCGAGCTGAAGCTTGGGAGCAAGCGCGCCATCATCGTCCCCTCCCGCGATATTGCGATACAGGCGGTGGCGGAAATGGAGCGTTTCGGTCCCAGTTGCAATCTAGTTGGTGATATGAAATTGGGTTACGACTTTGACGCCGATGTGACCGTCTGCGTCATCAACAGTGCATGGCGGCTTCGGGATTTACAGTTCCAAGTGAGGATCGTGGATGAGGCTCACCACACATCTCAATTGTTCACCAAGGGCCAGGTGTTTGGCGAAGTTGTGCGGTCCCTGAGCGCCAAGTGGTGTTGTGATTTCTCGGCAACATTCCAAGATAATGTCAAGTTTGAATGCGTTTACGATTACGCGACCGCTCGGCAGAGCGGTTTCGTTTCGGACATGATTGTTCACATGCCTATCTTCAACACAGAAGATAGGACCGCAACACTTTTGCAGACTTGCGTCACGAATGTAGACAAGTGGGCCCCCATGCTCTTGGTATTCAACTCCCTGCTCAAGGCCAGGCACTTCGCGAAACTCTTGAGGGAGACTGGCGTCAAGGCTCTGAGTGTAGATGGATCCACCGGCAAAGAGGCACGCTCCGAAATGAAGCGAGACTTAGAGAGCGGCAGGCTGCAAGCGATCATTGCGGTCAAAGTTTCCAGCTAGGGTACTTCTATCAGCGCTCTCCGCACAGTTGTCTTCGGGGACTACAAGAACAAAAGTAGCATTTGGTCGCGGCAGCTTTCGATGCGAGTTTCGTGCCTTTATCACAACAAGCGCTGTGGACTCGTAATCACCCCCGTACACATGGATATGTTTCCGATTATGGGCAAAGATCGTGTGTCGGACCTCTTCCCGACATGATACAGAGTAGAGGGGTACAAGCAAGCTCCTCTTCCAGCTCCGGTGGCAATCAATGGTTTTCTCCAGTGTCAGAAGAAGAAGCCTTTGAGGCTCCTGTGCGTGAAGAGAGCGCGGACGCTTTCGAGAAGGCATTCTTGGGCGTTGTGTCTTGGAATGTGACGGAGGCTCCCGAGATCAACGTCAGCAAACCATCCTTGGAGGATCCTGTCGGACATATGTATAGAATGGTCCGCAATTGGCAGCAGCAGCATAATGGGACGATCCCACGCCCAATGTCAGCATTCACGTTGAGGGAGAGAATCTTCGCCGAGCTTGCCCAAGGGGTAGACGCAGAGGAGTTACTGCTGTCTTGCTGTCTCGATGGTTGCAAGCTTTGCAAAACAAGTTCTTACAAATGGGCTTTGCTAAGTTTTGCTGTCTCCTTCGTGATTGGTTGGTGGAAAGCGGTGAGGCTCCTTTTGGAGGTGCGCTCGCGAATGGCCAATTCGCGAGAGAGAGTTGAGCAGGCGGCTGAGTCTGGCGAAGCGGGGGTACTTGACAGGTGATACGGCGGAGGGGGACAGGGAGCTGTTCCAGGAGGCCATCAGTGGCTTCGAGGTCTCGGTCTTCGGCCGACTGCTGCCGTGGGGGGAGTTTTGCCGCGAGTTGCGTGCCTGGTTGCTGGATAATGGTCAGGTCCCCGTTCAGGGAAAACTCGAGAACAGCCCCCGCCAGAGAGAGTTGAGCAGGCGGCTGAGACTGGCGAACCGGGAATACTTGTCAGGTGATATGGCGCAGGAAGACAGGGAGCTGCTTCAGATGGCTATCAGTGGCTTCGAGGTGTTGGTCTTTGGCCAGCTGCTGCCGTGGGAAGAGTTTTGCCGCGAAATGCGTGCTTGGTTGCTGGAAACTGGTCAGGTGCCCAAGCAACTTGAGAACAGCCCCCGCGAGAGAGAGTTGAGCAGGCGGCTGAGTCTGGCGAAGAGGGAGTGCTTGGCAGGTGATATGGCGGAGGAGGACAATGAGCTGTTCCAGGACCCAGGAGGCCGTCAGTGGTTTCGAGCTCTTGGTGGACGGCCGGCTGCTGCCGTGGGGGGAGTTTTGCCGCGAGTTGCGTGCCTGGTTGCTGGATACTGGTCAGGTCCCCGTTGAGGGAAAACTCGCGAACAGCCCCCGCGAGAGAGAGTTGAGCAGGCGGCAAGCGGGAGTGCTTTGCAGGTGATTTGGCGGAGGAGGACAGGGAGCTGTTCCAGGAGGCCATCAGTGGTTTCGAGCTCTTGGTGGACGGCCGGCTGCTGCCGTGGGGGGAGTTTTGCCGCGATTTGCGTGCCTGGTTGTTGCATAATGGTCAGGTCCCCGTTGAGGGGAAACTCGAGAACAGCCCTCGCGAGATACATTCCAGCAGGCGACTGAATCTTGCGAAGCAGGAGTACTTGGCAGGTGATATGGCGGAGGAGGGCAGGGAGCTGTTCCAGGAGGCCATGTGTGGCTTCGAGGTCTTGGTCTTCGGCCGGCTGCTGCCGTGGGGTAAGGTTAGCCGCGACTTGCGTGCCTGGTTGCAAGATACTGGTCAGGTCCCCGTTCAGGGAGAACTCGCGAACAGCCCTCGCGAGAGAGAGTTGAGCAGGCGGCCGAGTCTGGCGAAGAGGGAGTGCTTTGCAGGTGATTTGGCGGAGGAGGACAGGGAGCTGTTCCAGGAGGCCATCAGTGGCTTCGAGGTTTTGGTCTTCCGCCGGCTGCTGCCGTGGGGGGGAGCTTTGCCTCGACTTGCGTGCTTGGTTGGTGGAAAGCGGTGAGGCTCCTGTTGGAGGTGCGTTCGCGAATGGCCAATTCGCGAGAGAGAGTTGAGCAGGCGGCTGAGTCTGGCGAAGCGGGGGTACTTGACAGGTGATACGGCGGAGGGGGACAGGGAGCTGTTCCAGGAGGCCATCAGTGGCTTCGAGGTTTTGGTCTTCGGCCGACTGCTGCTGTGGGGGGAGTTTTGCCGCGAGTTGCGTGTCTGGTTGCTGGATAATGGTCAGGTCCCCGTTCAGGGAAAACTCACGAACAGCCCCCGCGAGAGAGAGTTGAGCAGGCGGCTGAGACTGGCGAAGCGGGAATACTTGTCAGGAGATATGGCGCAGGAAGACAGGGAGCTGCTACAGGAGGCCATCAGTGGCTTCGAGATGTAAGTCTTCGGCTGGCTGCTGCCATGGGGGGAGTTTTGCCGCGACTTGCGTGCCTGGTTGCTGGATACTGGTTAAGTCCCCAAACAACTCGAGAACAGCCCCCACGAGAGAAAGTTAAGCAGGCGGCTGAGTCTGGCGAAGTGGGAGTACTTGGCAGGTGATATGGCGGAGGAGGACAGGGAGCTGTTCCAGGAGGCCATCAGTGGTTTCGAGCTCTTGGTGGACGGCCGGCTGCTGCCATGGGGGGAGTTTTGCCGCGAGTTGCGTGCCTGATTGCAAGATACTGGTCAGGTTCCCGTTGAGGGAAAACTCGCGAACAGCCCCTGTGAGAGAGAGTTGAGCAGGCGGCCGAGTCTTGTGAAGCGGGAGCATTTGGAAGGTGATATGGCGGAGGAGGACAGGGAGCTGTTCCAGGAGGCCATCAGTGGCTTCGAGGTCTTAGTCTTCGGCCGGCTGCTGCCATTGGGGGAGTTTTGCCGCGACTTGCGTGCCTGGTTTATGAATAGCGGTGAGGCTCCTGTTGGAGGTGCGCTCGCGAATGACCAATTCGAGAGACAGTTGAGCAGGCGGCTGAGTCTGGCGAAGAGGGAGTGCTTGGCAGGTAATATGGCGGAGAAGGACAGGGAGCTGTTCCATGAGGCCATCGGTGGTCTCGAGGTCTTGGTCTTCGGCCGGCTGCTGCCGTGGGGGGAGTTGCCGCGAGTTGCGTGCCTGGTTGCTGGATACTGGTCAGGTCCCCAAACAACTCGAGAACAGCCGCCGCGAGAGAGAGTTGAGCAGGCGGCTGAGTCTGGCGAAGCGGGAGTACTTGGCAGGTGATATGGCGGAGAAGGACAGGGAGCTGTTCAGGAGTCCATCAGTGGATTCGAGGTCTCGGTCTTCGGCCGGCTGCTGCCGTGGGGGGGGAGTTTTGCCGCGTTTTGCGTGCCTGGTCGCTGGATACTGGTCAGGTCCCCTTTGAGGGAAGACTCGCGAGCAGCCCCGCGAGAGAGAGTTAAGCCGGCGGCTGAGTCTGGCGAAGCGGGGGTACTTGGCAGGTGATATGGCGGAGGAGGACAGGGATTCGTTCCAGGAGGCCATCAGTGGTTTCGAGCTCTTGGTGGACGGCCGGCTGCTGCCATGGGGGGAGTTTTGCCGCGACTTGCGTGCCTGGTTGCTGGATACTGGTCAGGTCCCCGTTGAGGGAAAACTCGCGAACAGCCCCTGTGAGAGAGAGTTGAGCAGGCGGCCGAGTCTTGTGAAGCGGGAGCATTTGGAAGGTGATATGGCGGAGGAGGACAGGGAGCTGTTCCAGGAGGCCATCTGTGGCTTCGAGGTCTCGGTCTTCGGCCAGCTGCTGCAGTGGGGGGAGTTTTGCCGCGAGCTGCGTGCCTTCTTGCTGGAAACTGGTCAGTTCCTATCGAAAGAAGTCGTGGACAGCACTCCCAAGAGACGGTTGAGGAGGCGGTTTAGTCTGGCGAGGCGAGAGCACTTGGCAGGTGACATAGCGGAGGAGGACAGGGATTTGTTCCAGGAGGCCATCAGTGGCTTCGAGGTCTCGGTCTTCGGCCCGCTGCTGCCATGGGGGGGGAGTTTTGCCGCGAGTTGCGTGCCTGGTTGCTGGATGCTGGTCAGGCCCCCTTTGAGGGAAGACTCGCGAGCAGCCCCCGCGAGAGAGAGTTGAGCAGGCGGCTGAGTCTGGCGAACCGGGAGTACTTGGCAGGTGGTATGGGGGAGACGGACAGGGAGCTTTTCCAGGAGGTCATCAGCGGCTTCGAGGTCTTGGTCTTCTGCCGTCGAGCTGGTTAGGCTGGAGTACTTCGCAGTTTGGTTGTTCCGTGTCTTCGTTTTCGGCCTGGCGCTGCCATGGGCAGACTTTGACCACGAGTTGCGTGCCTGGCTGCTGGTTCTCGATCAGGCCCCCGAGAGCTCCCGCCAGAGTGATCTGGGCAGGCGGGTACACCTCGCGAAGCAGGAGTGGATACTCGGGGGATGGCGCAGCGGCGTATGAGAGGGATACATTACAGGAGGCCTTCAGCGGACCCGGAGATTCATCCCCCTCCTCCTCCTCCTCCTCCTCCTCCTCCTCCTCCTCCTCCTCCTCCTCCTCCTCCTCCTCCCCCTCCTCCTCCACCTCCTCATCTTCCTCCTCATCCTCCTTCTCCTCCTCCTCCCACTCCCCCTGGGGCCCTAGGTCCGGTGCTGATACATCAGAAGCAACGTGGGGCACAGTGAAGCAGGGGTGGGCCGCATGAGAAAAGTTTGCCAGTGCGCGTTCACTCGAACCAAGGCTGCACAACGCGTGCGCAACCAAACTTAGACTGCTTTCGTTTACCCCCTGGAGCGTAACGGCCACTACGCGGGCCAGACCCCTCCCCCCCTCCCGGGTAACGGTAACGATCGTATGTTTGCCGCACAAGCGAAACGACGATTGCAGTCGTCGTTTCGTTTGCGTGGTTACAGCCACTAAGGCTCCCCCCCCCCCCCCGTGAGGACGAGGAGTCGGACAGCGGTTGGCGGCCCGCCGCGGTGGCGGCTTGCAGCTTGCGGCGGCCCGCCACGGTGGCGGCTGCGGGCGGCCCGCGGAGGCGGCATGCGGCGCGCGGCCTGTGGCGGCCGGCGGCCTGGGCGCGGCCTGCCCAGCGCCGCACGTGCCCGGTGGAGGCGCGCCCGCCGTCAGCTCGATCGGCTTCGACGGCCTTGCGGGCGGGCGCGGGCGTGGGCCGCGTCACCGCCGCCGCGCCTTTGCATCTGAGGCCCGCGGGCGCGGGCGCGGTCCGCGCCAGCCGTTGGCAATGGCATCTCCTCCCCCCCCCGCCATCTCCACGCCCGCCCCCTTCTTTATTTCGGCCGTGTCCCGAATTTTGTTTCTCGCGGGGTAACTGGCCGACTGACTGATTGACTGACTGACTGACTGGTCGCACTGGCTACGCGCCAGTTTTAGTTTCAGCGGGCGAGGGGGGAGCCTATGGCGTAACCAATATCCGCCAGCCCTCAATGCAGCAAACAGGTGTTGCGCACCATCATCATGGCGATGATGGCAAGTGGGCAGCGGCCGATCTATGTGATGCCGACGGCGATGCCGATGTGATGATAGATGGCGGCGATGCTCGTGCAGACGACAATGGTGGTTGTGATGACGAGGCGACGTGGGAGGGGCAGTGGTTTGCGGACGCACTACCCACCTACTAAGTGCTTAGCGGTGTTTAGCTAACTGGTTCGTGCAAGTGGTTATCCTGTGATCCCACTACTCTTCCTCATCAGGTCCCGTGTTTTCCCTCCTCACCCTCCTCCCTTTCATCAGATCCCGCCTCCTCCTCCTCCTCCTCGCGTTCCGACGCCCCGCGCGCTGCGCGCGCCGAATGATGTTGATGAGGCGGGAGATGATGATGATGGCGATGATAATACTGATGATGACGACGTTGATCATGATGCTGGTGATGGTGGTGATGATGATGGATGGTATCGATGACGCCCAGGGGCCTTGCATGAGTATACCTCGCTCTCTTTACCTGGCCCGGCTGTTGTAGTCCATGTCCAGGCGGAGATCACATGCAGTTCGAGCGATGTGCACAGCGGAAGACAACGACGTAGCCGGGTCTAGACGGGAGAGCTTTGCCCAGCTTCCGGCGCGAGCACAGTCGAAGGTCAATAGACTTTTATTGATCTGCCCATGTGAATTGGCTGGTTTTGGTGGCCTCGCCGTCCTACTAATCATCTCTTCCAGCTTCGGGCTTGCGGTACTGGTTGTCCGAACAGTTACACGTTGCTGTTTCTCCTATTACGTCTAAATCCTCCTCGTATGCGCGCTACCCTTCTTCCCCTATGTATATATACATATGTGTATATATATATATATATATATATAGGTGTGTCTCTCTCTCTCTCTCTCTCTCTAGCTATCTCACTCTCTCTCTCTCTCGTTAGTTTATTCCCAATCGCCTGACCTATTTTATACATTAATGGACTACTCCTCTGTACATTCATCTGATATATGGGGTCCTCCCTCCTTTGATGTTACCCTCTCTCTCTCTCTCAACTCTCTCTCTCTCTCTCTCTGTCTTTCCTTACTGTTCCTCTCTCTTTCTCTTTTCCCCCCCTCTCCCTCTCCCCCTCCCTCCCTCTCTTCTCCTCCCCCTGGTCTTCGCTGTCGTCGTCGCGGCCGTTCTCGTCCTGCTTCGGATCAACACATCCTCCCCTTCCGCCTCCCTATCTCGCTCCTCCGACCACTTCTGGCCCATTGCCAGTTCTCCCCTCTCTGAGCCGCGCACCTCCCTCTCGTCCTGTTCTTCCTCTCCTTCTCCTCCCTCCTTCTCCTCCTCCTCCTCATTCCACCTCGTCCTCCATCATTCTTCCTTCCAAATCTCGTGTCTCTGTCGCACTCCCAGGCGTGTCGAAAGATCGGGCTGGAAGTTTGCCTGACCCGTGGCATCATGTGTGATCCTGAAGCGCGAAATTCGCAACCTCTTCACAGGTGGAGGACGGGACGTTTTCAAATTGTAGCTATCGCGATTGCGCCACGTGAGTTAGTTGTTATCAGGTTGCAGCAGCTTCAAGGATGCATATGGGGCCGCTCTCAGAATGAGGCTCTCGCCTCAGCGACGCGCGCTTACGTCTTTAGCAGCAACTGCCAGGATAGAGTGAAACCGTTTCAGAAGTCCGATCTTTCGGGTTGGCGGCGTACCTACGTCTTACAATCTTGAACAGCTTGAAGGACGGATGGGTGTCGTTTTTGTTTACGTTGGGCTCTGTCTGTAGCGCCGATGGCGTTTGTCTACGCAACGGGGTTCTGGTCGCACAGCGTGTGTCCCCTGCGCGCCGCGCACATTCGTTGCGACACTGTGCGACAGGTTCAGGTCTGGTAGGCGGTTCTTTTTCAAAGCGGGACTCGCCATGGCGCCGCGCACATTCGATTCAGCATGTTGCAAGAGTTTCCAAGACGAGCCGCAGGTCGTTTTCACAGTGTGGCTTTTGTTTGAGGCGCTGTGAGCATTCGTATCAGAGCTTGTAGTCCTCAAACAGATGGAGGGTTGTTCTTTTTCATCAGGCAGCCCTCGCGTGCAACGCCCTCCGCCTCGATGCGTTGCACCTCTGCATCTCTACGCGTGCGTCTCTGCACAGATCGAGGGCAACCTTTTTTCGCTTGTTGTCGCAGGTGCAAGCTCGCGTGAGAGTGACTCGAGTGGGCGCTGCGTGCGGTCCTCCTTCGACAGAGGGATGCCTGCACACCTCGATGGGTTGGAAGATGCTACTTCTCCGCGCGTATGACTGACCGCCAGGAGGATGCAAGGCAGATCCTGGTCGCTGCGGGGCCCTTGCCAAACTGGCAGCCCCACATCGCATTGGTCCTTGGTCTTCCAAAGGGAGGGGGGCGCTCTTTCCTGCGAGAAGGAAGGCTCGCTGGGGCGTCCGAGGAGGGCAGGATGTATTGCAGCATCGCTGATGCATCTTGGGTTCACTCTGGTCTTCTCCTCCTCCTCCTCCTCTTCCTCCTCCTCCTCCTCATACCCCTTCCATCCCCCCCTCTCCTCCTCCTCCTCCTCCTTCCCCTTCTCATGCTCCTCCTCCTCCTCCTCCTCCTCCTCAATCCTCCTCATTCTCCCCCTCTCCGCTGCTGTTTTCGCTCAAGCAATCGCAGGCGGTGTCAGCTCTCCCCACCCCTTGAGGCCTTTCATTTTCCAGAGCTCTTTTTGTTAGACCGTCCGTTCTCAGCCGACGCCATGAGGGCCTGTGCCATGGCGCTGTTCCTCGCCGCCGCCACGGTCGACGGCCTGAATCTGGAGGACCCCCCCGAGATCCGGCGTCGCGGCAACAGTATGTAGCACCCCGAAGATGCGGCGGGTCGTGGGGTCGGTCGCGGGGTGGGTCGTGGGTCGTGGGGTGGGTCGTGGGGTGGGTCGCGCGGGGAGTCGCGGGTGGGTCGCGGGGGAGGACGACGACCGCAACAACGCATCAATACTCCGCACCGTGGAACTCCATTTCAGCCACTTGCCCAGGGTCAGTGAATGCTCGTTCGGCTCCCTCACTCTGACAACGTCGAAGCAACGACCAGAGCCCTCGACCCCATCTCTGTGCGGCCTCTCTCGAGGCAGACCCGTCCGTGAGGATCCCGGGGCCCGACATAGCACGGTACTGGCCATCTTCTTTTTTGTCCGGTTCCGAGGACCCCGTCATCGAGTCCGCCCGGAAGTTCGTGCATGGGCATAAGCACGGCAATATTTGCCTGGAGGCCTTCGAGGAAGCCGAAAGCATAATCGGCGGCTTCGACACCTCGGGCAAGCATGCCGAGACAGCGGAGACCGTTGCGCAGAAACTCGCGGAGGCCACGGGCAAGGACGTCAAGGATCGGGGGCAAGCATTATGGCCAATCCGATGATCCCCCTCTCCTCCCATCCCCCTTCGCACCCCTCCCCCCCCGACGAAGGAGGACGCGCGAGCGGGGAATGGAGGGAGGCAGTGAAGGCAGAGAGGGAAGGCGGGAGGAGGCTGACGAGGAGGAGGATTGTGGGAAGGAGACAGAGTGCGGGAGCAAGCGGGTCATGTGGCAGAGGTGGAGGAGGCAGCCGGCAATAGAGGAGATGGAGAAGGCGGGATGATGAGGAGGTGAAGCAGGAGGCGAGGGGAAGGTGGTCGGTGGAGAAGGAGGAGGAGGAGGAGGAGGAGGAGGAGGAGGAGAGGGCGCCC